GGCTTAATATAGACCGTTAGACTCTTTATCTCTTATGTTTTTTTATAGTCGGAGCAATCCTTCTGGTCAAAATCGTGTACATAGACATAACAAATAAACACATATCACGGTAAAACCAATAAATCTCTCGTTTCACTCGGAATCTAAAAACCGTCTAGTTAGTTTGAAAACGTATGAAAAAGAAAAAATTGTAGGTATTTTTGCGGATACAATTTCTATACTATTAGAACGTAAAATACTTCATGGTAGATAACATATAAGGGATATGGGGAAAAACGATAATAGTAAAAAAAAGAAAATATTCTGATAGTTATATTATTTTGCCATTTGTTCTAAAAAGTAAATAAAATTTTATATTTATTAATTTTATTAAAAATTAGTTATATTCTAACAATACATTTTTTAAATTTATTTTGTTTTTAATCTCTTAGTTTTTTGAGATCTTAAACCTTAAAAATTGCAATACTAAACAGTTTAGGAATATTGACTATCATCATTTTTTTTCGTAGCCCTTTATTCTTTAATTATATGATTTCAAGTTGGAATATTGATTTGGTATCAACTGCGTGCGAAAAATTAAAAGTTTAACTCTTAGAAAAATACATATTTTTCACAAACATTAAGATTAATACTCAGTGAATATTTGTCTTACTGAACTCTTCTCTGGGTTTCCGATGTTAAAACCTATTGTGACGATAGTAAGACACTTGATGATTCAATGATTAGTGTTATCAGTATTTTTTTTATTTCTGTGATTAAATACTGTAAACAGAGAGAGTTTAAACTTACTCTGAAGATTATCTAAATATCAACGACTGATGTAAAGAACCCTGTTTCGTAGGTATTTTATTATTATTATATGCATCAAGGTAAATTCAAAACAAGAGGTACAAATCGTTTGATTTTTGTGATAACATTTTTTTAAATTTAATTACTATCGTAACATTAATTAAACAGTTTTGTACTGTAGATCTAATGTTTACGGTTTATATTGTTATAAACTTACCTTGAAGTGGATTATATAAAAATTATATTCATTAATATAAAAGTTGGATTTTCTTTTGATTTCCGAGGTCAAATACCGAATGTATGGAACTTTGTTCTCGACGGAGAGTGAATTTGCCGCGTTAATCATTTCACAGATAATAATTAACAACGAATGAATAAAATAAAAATATATTGAACGAATAAAATAAAACGATATTATACTTCTGAATATTTTCCTCGAACGGATTGACCGCCAATCGTTTGAATATTTTAGCAAACTATAACAATAACTATTTGGTTGTTTAGATTTAAAAGTATGAAAACCAGAGTTGTGTGTTTGCAATAACATTATATGATTTTGTTTTTCAATATTTCCGATAAAATAAGTGTTTTACCCTCATTTTATTTAATACACGTATAGTACACGATATGCGAGCGCATTTCTCATTCCTGTAGTCGTAATTTGATATTCAATTTATTTTTACACGCATAACTGTTCTGTCCTTCGTAAATATATAATAACTATAAACCATATATAACACAACAACGCGATTTGTTCAATCTTACCGCATTTGCTGTCGTAGTTGGGACTAACGTGTTTTACGAATCGGCTGATACGTAAATGAAAAAAAAAAAAAAAATTCATTTTACCAACTCTTATTTCAATATATTGTTCGGAATATATTATGAAATCACCCTGCTGAAAAATCCAGAACGTTTGCGAATCATTCCTTGACCTTTTTTATCACTTCTCCTTTTGGCCGAATAAGATTTTACTACACATGTACACGATTCGTACACACGGAAGAACGAAACGTCATCGATTGGACTCGCTAAAAAATCGAGATGCACATACATTCATCGGTATATAATAATGAGATGAACGTGAGACATTGAAATCCTTCGACGTAATTGCATACTAACGCACGCATACTATCGATTGTCGTGTTGTGCCGTACGTCGCACAACCGTTGTGCGTATGTATAAATCATACACGTATGTGCAACTTTTGCCGTCCTAGTACAATATTTACGATATGCGATGACGTGAAAATCGCACTGTATACGTTATTAATTGATGACGAGCTGGGCGGTGGTGTTGGCGTGTCATCGTCGTCTTGTGCGCGGTATGGATCGCAACAGGATATGCAATTACGAGTATATTACAATGTTAAATAGGTACGACTGAGTATGCATTGGCCCCGAGAAAGAAACCGTTTAGATCGGTTCGCAGCGGTTGTGCCACGTGTATCTAGTTGCAGCACACGGTCGGCCGAGAGGGATTTATTGATGTTTAATGCACGCCTTTACTTAACTCGAAGCTACCATAAAGGTAAATGCGCCAACTGCAACTAACTTACGTACAATATAATGCAGTGCTGTCATTTCAGTTTTTCGATCGGTGTCTTGGATATGCTTTGTAAATACAACGACAGCAGCGGCTTTTTTGTACTGATAGAGTCGTATATGCGGTTTACGGCTTATTATGTGTTCCGAAAAAATCAACCGACGCGTCATAAAACACTTATTGAAACAAATATTTGTATGGTCTTGAGTTGTATGATAAAGGGGCTGGTACTATTATTGTCTTTTGGTCTTCAATATTTGTTCGTGTTGATTTTATTAATATTAGACTAAGGAGAAGATCTGACTCGAGGTATGAAGTTGTTATATCCTGTATGCTTTCAAATCTAGACACTTTCGAAAAATTTGTTTATACTTAACGTAAACGATTCGCGACTGAAATCGACCAATTCCGTTTAAAAAACCTCAGATGACGACGAATATTATTTTTAAGCTGTACGAGTGACGTGCCACACATGATAATTTGACTTATAGAATCGTATTACATATTACAATGCGATCTGAGCGTTTGATGTTATTTTATTTTTTTTAGTCACAACCGAGGTATTAAAAACGACCTTAGAACGGAATTCGTTTGCAACCACATTCGATAATATTTTTTTCGCCAAAACGAGTTAATGTACATAATGTTCTTGTGAAAGTGTCCTGTCCACTGCAGTACACGCATTTCAATATCAACCTGCTGCTGTGCATTTCAATAGTGTTCATGACGGCACTGTGCACAGGCATTGTTGCGGGTTGACACGTTCGAGTCACTGTGCGACTTGTATCACCGGATAACGAGCGCATGTGGTGCGTACGCGTATAGGTCGGACAAACGTTGATCGCCGTGCGAACAATCGATGTCGACCGATCGCAGATTTTCGCTACAGAAATTCTAAATCACGTAATCGTGTACACGCGCAGGTGTCGAAAAGTGTTCGTACAACGTATACTCTATATCTTTTCCGCGCACGTGTTGGTGAAGGCGTGCACGAGTGTAACGGTTATCATCAGCACTCCCATCGGGATTGAAATCCGAGATTGTTCCCGCGTCTCGCCGACGGTCTAACCCCTGCTAAGGACGTGAACGTTCTTGGCGTGCCCGGATCGTCGGATAAATAATTTTAAAACGGTCGGCGTATCGAAGTCGACCAGAAGCGATTTTCACGACGGTACGATTTGATTTGGCGAGTTTATCGATCGCGGTGATTAGCCGCGAACGAACCCGTACAGAGAGACCTCTATTTCAATATCCCTCCCGTATGGTTCTAGATTTTCCTGAGCGGTGATTCGCAATAGATTTAGTATCGGCCCAATGGGTTACTGTTTGCGTTTTCACGTAACTGTAACAAGACGGGGGAATAATTTGTGACATACACTCTTCAAAAAGATAGACCTGCATATGCGCTACGATAGGGGGGGGGGGGACACAAAAGGATTTTTATCACCACGGTTTTTTTTTAAGTAAATCTATATTAATTACATTGAAATGGCATTCATTTTATTTTCAACAATTTCAGCGCCTCCATATATGGGCCTGTTTCCAGTAGAAATACTGATCTTAGGTGATTGTAAGTTACATCTTATTGTACCTTTTTGGTCTCAATTACGTCCTGGGTATTTTTTTATTTTTTTGACATGTAAATCGAATCTTATGAAACTTTTATATTTTAATGTATGTTACAATAAATATTTTCCTTACTATTTTACCAGGCTTAGAACTGTCAGTATTATTGTTATAATATTGGTTCGGTTATCACTTTTTAATTAAAACTTAATTTATTATTATGTGTATATTTGGTCGCTTTTTTATTAAAATTTAACTTTTTAACTATTTAAGTCTGTATGAAAGCAGGAAAAAGTTGAATGATAGTTGCCTAGCTGCCTATTTTCGAGCTCACAAATAAAATCTGTGTAATTGTTTTATCATAGTTTATAATTCATCCGATTTTGTAATATTTTTTTATTATATATTCTTTTTTTTCTGACACCCTGACTCCATAGCGCTGTATAAATATTACTTAGAATATATTTTTTAAAAATATCTGGCAACATGCGTATATTGTTATCGATACGTGACTTACATTTGCCGCTGACCTTATACCTGAAGTCAATTGATAACGTTGGACGAAAAGCTAAACGCTAGCGAGACGAAAACTGTGACCGTCGGAAACTGTATTTGAACTCTGTCTATCGACGTGAGAACAGTTGCGCAGTGCCACAGCGGAAATGCGCCGGGAAACAAAGGAAGTAGCGGACAGTTATTACGGATCAAAGCGGCCTACAATGGGCATTTTTTATTTTTTTTCGTATTCCTCGTAATAATAAAATAATCACGATTTCACAAGGAACCATTTAAAACGTCTATCGGGTCGTGATGCGCCGGCGCGACGAGTTTCGGGTTTTAGCACAAGTTCCAGATTGACGTCGATCATTTACGGACACGTAGTCAACGGCGACGGGCTCGCCCCGTGGTTACGCGCGTGTACAAATCGCGTATCCCGGAGGGACGCGCACGACAAACGCCGGGATCGGTGCAGGGACTTGCAACACCCGACAATAGGGACTGCAACCGGAACGCGATCGTGTCGCGTAAGTACGTAGAAAAACCAACCGACCTAGTGGCGATTCTGCGCGCGTGCGCGCGACAACGCGTAACGACAAACGATGGACGGCCGCGGCACCGCGGTCCCGTTGCCCGGCCGGTGGACGTGGTGGTACAAGGACCCGTGCGCGAACAACGAGAACTGGACGTCCAGGCTGCAGGAGCTGTTCGACGTGAAGACCAGCGCGGAGTACGCGACCGCGTACGGCGCGGCCAAGCTGCCGTCCGCGCTGGCGCCGGGCGCGGGCTACTACGTGTTCCGGCACCGCGTGTGGCCGGCGTGGGAGGCGGAACCGAACCGGGGCGCGGGCGCGTGGACGGCGACGATCGAGCCGGCCCGCGGCGACGCGTCGGCCGCCGTCGACTTCGCGTGGTCCGACCTGCTGTTCCTGTTGGTCAGCGAAGGGTTCGGCCAGCTGTCCGGGTACGTGTGCGGCGTCACGTGCAGCGCGAAACCGCGCGGCCGGCACAAGGTCGGCGTGTGGACGGTCCGGACGACCGCGGCCAACCACCGGTACATCCTCATGGTAGGCCGGCTGCTGGGCACGGTGTTGCGGAACGCGTGCGGCGCCACCGTACCGATCGCGTACAAGCCGCACGAGGGCACGCGCGACAGCTTCGACTACGCGATAAGCTGACGTGGGCCACGCAGGTTTAATTCGCCGACCGGGTGCGTCCGGGAATCGCCGTTTATTCGCAACGGGTTTTACTGAATACAATTAACGTTTTTAACACATCTCGTTGTTGCTCTATCGAACACGGTAAACACGTTGACTGTTCGAGCCCCGCGTGTCCTAAACGTGACGTTCCGACCGAGCGGGACTCGGTACCTGTTCGGACGCTTCACAACGGTAAAAACGGTTTAGCTCCGGCTAGAACGACGCCAATTTCGCAATCTTACTCGCACGGTTAAGATTCGTTTCATTCGATCAACCTTAGACGTCAGCATTATGTGTTGGACAGCATTTGTGACCGTTAACGTACGGTTAACAAAAGTTTCGTAAACGTATATTTTTAAGCTGTCGCGTACGATTCGAAATCACCCGTATGAAATATACGAATCATAAATTAGGTACGCGTTAAATTACACATTTTAATGACCGCATAAACACGCCGTAATAATCTCAAATCCGTTCGGAATCTGCTTTCGAATGCGATTCATACGCGTGCAGTTTTTAAATAATCACCGTGCGGGTGTAGCGTACGGCTAATACGGTCATTATAACGCGGAGTGTTAAAAAATAATAATAATAATAATAATAATAATAAAAAGATTTTAATAAATAAATAAATAATTATAATAATTATAATTACAAGTAGGTATAATTAACCTTTTCGGTTCAATTAGAAACCGTACCGCGCGTACAGCGTTAACACATTGGCGCGGTTGTCTGCGCCGTCGCCGTGCGCATCGACCGAACTAGTAGTAGCTGCTTTTGTCGTGTTGATAAATGTGCTGAACTTGAAAGTCTCGTTTTAAAAACTCGACGAGTGGACATTTCCTTTGATTACTACTGGAAACAAATGTTACGCACGCAATTAAATTATAGTTTTCACGCGGCGTGCGTATGCAGACCGTACAGTCAATAACAATTGTGCAGCGGAAAAAGTTATACCTATTTACATATTCATCATTATTTTCAACAATGCGGCATAATTTATTGGTCTCCACCACCGGAAATGACCCACGTAAATGATGCAATTACGATTGCTGAACGTCGTGGAGCAACATTTATTTAACATGCGCGCGATGTCGACAAAACTTGAAAAAAGTTGCTATACGTTTTCCGATAAATAAATCGTTTACCCCGCGATTGGTTTGGCGTTTGAGGCTGACAATGATTTTCCAATCCTAATAAATCGCGTAAAACTACGACTGTGCGTATTCATTGATAGTATTCGGCTTTACGTTTGAGTACAATTTACGATTTTCGAGCACCGGAGAAAAATGCTGCGTGTGCAAACCAGACGGCAGAAGAAGTTTTAAAGATGAAGAACGTGAGTTTTGAAAAAATAAAAATACAACGCCGCCAAAAACTATTTCGTAACGAATATTTTAAGATTATTATACAGCTATGTACGTATTATTATAGTTTCCGCGACCAAGTAACTGCAACGATCAGTTTATTCGGTTACTGCAACATAATAACGCTTTATCGACAATCGCGATGATATTACGCGAGCAACGGAATCGACGAGACGCGTACACACGCATTTGCATAGTGTTGTATAAAAATACGTACACGCGTGTAGTACCCGCGTGTTATTTATATTTTATTTTATCGTTCCGAAGAAAATCTATACATTTTAAATAAGTTATTATAATACGTTATTGTATTGCCCACTTGTCATCTCTCATTATTATCTTTATGACGAGCGCAGACGCTCGACTACGTGCCCAGCCGTTGATACATAATACGTGTGTACACGTACACACACACATTGTGCGTATTACCGTAAGGACGAGACTTAGGTAACCTATTATTCGGGACGGAGAGAAAAAAAACGGTAGACCATGCCGGTTATTTTTTTATTTATTTTTTTATGCTTTTCACGATTTAAATATACGAATGAGTGAGAAAGAGAGTGAGAGAGAGAGAAAACGCAACGCGCTAATGACGTATTTAACATAAATTCTTAAGGCACGTCTGAAGTACTGTTGCTCGTGGTTTTTTTTTACATTTTTTTTTTTCCATTGCTATCGTTTTTCCCTCTCGCCGCCGCCGCACGCGAACATGCAGTCGGGCAGGCTTCGCGCGAACGGCATTTTTTACCGGCGCGGGCCAGTAAGTGGACCGAGGAAAACGACCATATGATTCGTACGTCAGACCGAATTTATACGCGCGCGCATAGAAACATGTACATATTAAAATACGGTTTTCCACGCGTACACGTCTACGCACGTGCCGGTAACCGATGCAACGGGGGCGGTTTTACACGCTCTACACGCAGTTTGTAGGCACCACAGATGTACACAATCGAACGGGACGGCCGACTTTTACGGATCCTAATCGTTTTCACACCGCGAATCGATAACTAATACCGTTGGTGAAGCAATGTACTCGACGGAGAAACATTGCGGTCCAAGGGTTAGGTACCGGCATCGTTGTTAAGAACATAGTTAGCGCGAGTCTAGAAAAACAGGGGAGAACAATCGTCAACCGTTTGGTAGGTGGGCGGGCAGTCTCTCGGATACTCGACGGTCAACATTCGGACGTAACAATAAGCGTACACCACGAATACACTTATACCACGTAAATATGTATTATACGACACATTTTTTTTTTTTTTCAAAGGGGTGTTTCGAATAATTTTGTTTCCCCTCCTTCGCTCTCCATCATAATTTCAACTTGTTTCCGCCTCTGGTTAACGCTAGACAATTCTTATATCCATGCGGTTTGTACACTTATACCTGCACGCTCAAACGGTATGTCGATCAATTGCATGCTGCCATCATATAATTGCGTAAATTGCATTGTATGCACATGTTCTGCGGTGTTGTCAACAATGTCGTTTCGTTTCCTTGTTTCCTACTCCTGTCGCCCGTGACATCGACCAAGCGATTGCACGCATAATGCATATTAAAGTAACAACAAAAATAATATATAGGTACCTAATATGTATTGTTATTATTATTATGAATACGAGTCGATTATTCTCATACACGAAGAGATAAAATTGTGGAGACTAGCACTTGACTGCGAAAAATACTTTTTTGGCTTTCGCGAAAATTCATAAACTTTCAAGTTCAAAATATTCGTCCCAGAGAGGGTTAGCTTCAGTTGTATTTGATTATCCGAAATGAGAGATATTAGTTCAACATATTTTGTAGTCGAATTTTTTTGTTTTATGCCGCCCGTTTCATTGCAGAGCTGAAATAATCGGTTTACGTCCATCAATTCGAGACAACTGCATTGCTGAACTCGTTCGTAAAATCCGCATCAAACTTTCAATTTCAACAAGCGTACAGAACGTGGACAATAGGTTAGAGCACAAACCTATTCTTTCCGTGAAATTGTCAGGGTCACTTTAAAAATATTGCCTAGTAGGTTTATACAATATAATACGTCTTCGAACCAAATAAGGTTTAGATATTTACAATACTTTTCGACAACTGTAACACGTATCGACACCGAACATGTGCCGAACATTTTTCAAAACGTGTCATGTGGTTGGAGTGGGCCGCCCACCGAAGTAACGCGATGTAATTATTATATTTTACGTCCGTATCTAAATACATGTGGGTTCGAAACAGATGTTTTGAAAATCATGACTTGTCGAATCTCCACTACTTCGATGCATCACAAACATTTTTGAACCACCGATATAGTGCGTCGAGTATATGTTGGCGAATGGGTTTGTGAAAAAAGCCACTCGTAGGTACTTTCGATTAGTATCTTTTACCGAACAAGAGTTATATCTTCATGTTACTCTTGTATAAAACGTTAGTACTTTTTCGACGTAATATTTAATGAATATATTATTGCATCACAACCAAATACATAAAAATTAATTTAAATTTAAAAGCTTAATATATACATCAACAGTATACATAGGTGACTTTTAATTTTTAATAAAATGTTTTGTTAAAAACGCGATTATGTATGCGATTACATCAGTTGAAAAAAAAAATAGAAAGAGAATATTGACTATCGTGGAAAATATGTGTATCGAATGCATGTGATTCGACCGTTCTTATAAAGACGTCGGACACGTGTCGTGAACTAAAGCCGTCGAAATTATAAATAAAAACCATATGTGCTACGGAAACGTACTGTATAGCGTTTTAAACATACAATACGCGCGTAGTTTATACACGTATTTATGTATAATGTACGGTAGCTGTTAAAATTCGACACGTTGCGCAAAGATGATTGTATTCAATATAGGGTCATGAGGATAATGCGGTATAATATGTATAAAATATAATCCAATGTGATGCGGTTTATCGTTTATAAATACGTAAAAACACGGTGTAATATCGATATTATTTCGCAGGATACATTCACGCTTGTATCGACTATAGTTATAACAATACGTCGACCAATGTGACTGTAGAGAATCATGATTCAATAGTTCTTGATTTCTAAATTTTCACCAAAATTATTTTGTTCAGATAGGTTTTGAAAAAAAAATGTGAAAATCTTGAAATCGTTAATATATATTGTAAGCTTAAATGCTTTGGAAAAAGTTCAAAAATTACAGCTCTGATAATTTATCCATCTAAAAATCATCGAATGTTTTTAAGTATTTTTTCATTATTCATATAAACTTTTCGTAGATTATTTATATGTATATATTGATAGATCTTTCATTTATATTTCATAGATCAACGAAATGTGAAAGAAATTAATAATTATATTCATCTTAACTAATTAGGCGTTGGAGAACGATGGTTGTCCATAACAAATTTTTAACTACATAATGTTTAACGATAAAACAATATTTTTTAATTTTTAATTTTAGCCAAGTAGAAATTTCAATCAGAATGTTCAATCGCTTTATGATTACGATTTACACGTTCATTTCGATGTCAAATTGTATACGATTAACAGCTAATGACGCATAAATGTACTTACCCATAATTCCCACTCTATGTAGTTTATAATACGTACATGCGGTTCGTTGTTCGTTTACG